GGGTGGTGCAAAAATGTGGACCATCTTGGAGTTCCTGAGGACCAGTTCGAGAAGAGCTGAAACAAAGCCCCCCCAGCTTTGGGTTGTGGAGCAGTGGAACTGCATTCTTTGGAGTGATGGAACTCCATTCAGCACCTTCTGGATGAGTTGTAGTGATCCAGGACTGATCATCCAACATCAGTACCAGACCTCACTAACTCTCGTGGCTGAAATCCTCACAGCAGTGTTCCAATATCTGTTGTAAAGCCTTCCAAGAAGAGTTAATGCCACAAACGGGGGGGCAAACTCCCCGTTAACATCATAATACCTTTTAGACATACAGTGTAGCTTAATAATAAGAAAAGGTGAAACTATTACTTCTATTATATTCCCTGTTATGTTCAAATTGGCAATACTGCATGTAAAGAAACATTGAATATACAGGTGTCTACAAATGTTTGGACATACAGTGTGAATAATGGAAGCTTATACCTCACCAATTAGCATCCTTAAATGCCTTAAACTGTGTTGATTTGTTCATCAATCTCAAACAGAATTGCTTATGTGGTTTGTGACACTATGACACACTATTATCTGTAAAAATGGCCAAAAACACAGATAGTTTAGCCTTGACAAGCGATGCTAGTCCAAATTTTGCAGTTAACAGTGTGTCTATTTAAGGTTTACTTGGCAACTCAATGGTTTAGCAATGCATGAGGCTAGCCGGTGGGGTAGAAGCTTCCATTATGTGTTAGCTACATTAGCTTCATAGCTCCAGTGCAAAACTTCAGATCCCAAGTCCTGACTAATCAACTACATTTGGGTTAAGGGGGCAATTTTGTGAAGTGTATTATCTGACCAACTATTCCTTCAACTGCAATAATACTGCTAGTATGTTATGCAAGAACTCAAGGGCAGGGAAGTCACCTTTGCCGTCTTGGTCATGTCTTGTGTCTACAAACCTATTTAGGTTTAGCCTACATGCATTTCTTATGAGCCAATGCGGTTAGCTTCTGGCTTACTGCTCCTAGGTTGGAGGCTATTGTATTGCCCTGCAATTACCTGCACTCCATTTTCAGTCAATTTAGCACAATCCAGCCCTCTCTCTCAACGTCTCTGCTTCTCGGTCTAGCTGAGGACAAAAGCAGCTCTTAAAATGCGAATGCTAAAGCAGTCCGGTGCAGCGACGGAACCCTGCAGCACTGTGTGCAGCTGAATATATGCAGATCCACAGAGGCAGCCATGGCTAAGCCTGTTTGCCTGGGCGAGACTGGGTGCACCCGCTGGCAGAGAGGGGCTGTGGCAGGAGCTGTGTGCATTGTTAAGACTTTTAGAGTCAAAGGAGTTCAGACGGCCTGCTTGCACACTGCTAAGCTTGGCCGCCATGTATTATTCAATGCTGTCTGCAAGCCGAGCTTGAAGCTGCGAGTGTGTGCATGTGTGACCTGGCTTAGCTGAAAGGAACCGCAGAGTGCTAGAAAGGGCACGGTATAGAAAAAGCGGAGCCAAGTTACATGTCACTCATACCTTTTTTCCTGACACAAATTAAGACAGACTGCGATTGGGAGCCACTGAACTAAAGCTACACTGAACTAATTACCCTGTCAATGAGGATCCTCTACTGAAAAGCCTGTTCAGTGCAGAGCTGCACTCAATCTGTATTAACCGCCCCTATAGAAACATCCCTACTGTTGGTATAGGCCTACTCCAAGACTGAGCCAAGACTGTGCCAGCTCCAAACGGCTTTCTTTTAGCCCCTTAAACTCCAGGCTTGTTATTCATTTACTAATCTTAAGGCTTAGTATTCGGTATCTTTTATGAATTAATCAAAAACTACTGTAAAACTAGCTCTGAATGGCTTTCTATTAGCCCCTTAAACTCTGGGCTTCTTATTCAGTTGCTTATAGTCAAAAGGAATTCCATTTATTTTTCAACATTACTGCAGAATTCAATCATTAAATTGTCAAAAAAATTATTGAGTCGTTTGATTTGAAATGTGCAAGTCAGAATTGTTCACAGTGGTGGTGATAGGCACCGGACGTCTGAAGCTTCTCAGTGCCCCCTCACAGAAAGTTATTAAATGAATTAGTTATATTAAAAAAAGTGGAATTCCAGTTAAACACCAGTTTAAGTACATCAAAAAACAGGTTTACGACACAAAGCATCCAAAAAATTCAAAACCATTTTGTTTTTAATGATGTCCGGTAACAACATGCACCGCCGGTCAGCAACTTCCAGCACTGCTCAATGTCTCCAAGCCCCACTCAGCACTGAGCTATTACTGCATTATATTAAATCCAGAACAACACCACAAAAAGCCAAGGTAGACGACACGTGGCATGAAATTTACACTGTGAAAGGCAATCGATGTAATATTTCAAGAGAAATGAGTTGTTTAGTTTTGCCTCAGCAAGCATTACAGGCCTAGTTACATTGAAATGTTAATTCCACCTTCAAACTTTTACCAAAAAAACAGCAAATCTGTGTAGAATTTGGCCCGATCCCATTTCACCCCTCGCCCCTACCATTTAGCTCTTATCCCTCCGTTTTGCGCGTTCATGCCTAGGGGTAGGGTGTCCAGATTTTTGTTGAGATAGAGGGGGAGGGTGAAGTGTTAGGGCTACAGAGCCCTCCAAACAGAGGTTTTTCCATAGTCACACTCCAAACAGAGTGTTAAGAGAAAAAAAGAAAAAGAAAAGAAAAAGAAACCCACGAATGTGAGAATTTTCTCCAATAAAAATACAATAACCGGATACCAAATGTGGTAAATGAACTGAATGATGATGGTTTTATTTCATTAAATCAAATGAGTAGAGAGTAAAATTAAGTTAAGCTTGACTTGAGCTTTTGTGTAGAATGTGCTTTAGCACACTCGTTGCAATGAGATGCGTTACAGCTGTACATCCTGTGTCTGCTATGTGATGCTACAAAACGAGACTGGAGCGTTGTAGGCTTAAGACTTATTATTCAGTAAGTAACTACTATGAAACTGATGGGTAGTTCTGTAGTTATGAGAGTGAGGACCCACACATGGACCCTTTGAGTTTAAGGGGTTAAATCAGACCAGAATCAGGTAACAAACCAAAACATCAAGCTCCTTAAGGCCAATTTATGGTCTCTCTACCAAAAAAACCACTATGGTCTGCAGATGTCACAGGGCTGTAGGCTTTCAGAGTCCTGTGCCAGCGACACAACGTCAGAATAGAACATCATCTATAGTTTCTATGAAAACGTCTACAATGGCGCAGCTAATAAAACAGTAGTGAAACTGCAAAAAAACAGTCTGAAAACAGCTGCTACAGTGAAACTGCATTAGCAGGAGGATTTTAAACTGCGGGTTCGATGCGGCAACCAGAAATACAACTTTGTTTTCCCACGCGCGTTGTGTTTCACTCACGCACTCTTTCTCCGTCACGCAGGGTTGCCAGATTCAACGTTTTCCCAAAAATGCAGGTTAGCCTGAAAGTGCAGTGCGGGGGGAAATTGCACTGTCGTGGTGTGTTTTCTCTGCTTGGACTACTTTTTAAAGAATCAAAGTCATGGAAAAGCATTTGAAAATGAAAACCAATAATCATATAAATGTATATTGATCCTAGTTCTAAAGAGCCGGCCACCTCTTCTGTTTCTGAAAGCAGCGAGGCAGCAAGAAAGTAAACACAGCCGCACACGCTGACCACAGCAACAATCCAGAACGTAGAACTTCTTTCCAATCAAATATTTTGATGCACGCGACAAGGTCTGCGACACCCCAGCAGACACAGTTTGTCTCTTTAACGTCATTTATTGTCGAGCGACGCTTGTCGCCTGGCCTATAAATTGGCCTTTAGGAACCAAAGACACAAATTTCTGCAAAGGCAAAGGAAGGAATAAAACATATAAAACGTTCCTGCACACTTCCTAACCCTGTCTTAGCTGATATCTTACTGATGATCCATTAAATTGTCTGTCTCCTTTTAACTGATTAAAATCTTTCCCCAGAGTAGTTGGAGAGCATGCCTGTCCATGCTGGTCAGTAAAATGTATGGCCTGGAGCTTTCTGTGAGCTGCCATGTTTCCTATCACTGCACAGAAGAAGCTCCATGCTGCCTTGTTGAATGCACTGCGATAGTGTCACATTAAGAATGCCATGGAAACACGTTATTGATTTATCAGACTATCAATAAAAGGCCACTGAGGAGTGTTTGCATGTTTAAAATGGTAGTTTGTACCAAAATAAAAGTCTATTTGGTCCCACTTTATATTGTCTCTAATAACTGTGCAGTTACATGTGCAACAACAATGTAATTACTAATGATTTAGTCACTGTTACTGATGGATTACAGCAGTACACCTTATGTAATTACACATGTGCATCAACTTCACAGGAACTGTCCACTTATTTTAAAGTGTAACTTTACACTACAGGAAAGTTCCTGTGTAGAAGATACACTTGTGTTATTACATGAGGCAAAACTAAAGTTGATACACATGTGTAATTACAGAGGCTGTACTTCTGTAATCCATCTGTAACACTGACTAAAACATCAGTAGTTACAGTGTTGTTGCATATGTTATTATTCATGTGTAACCACACAGTTATTAGAGACAATATAAAGCGGGACCGTCTATTTTCAGCTTTACAGCTCACTTTCTAATATCAAAGTAAACGTGACGTCACATTGAGAAAACACGGATTAAAATGCAGAAATACATGCTTTTTTGTGTATGCATTTAAGGGATAACAGCCCCAAAGCGATTGATTTCACAAACATCTTAACCCAAATGGGTCTTCAGTGGGCTGAAATCAGTCTAACAGCCATGCACTTCTATCCTTGAGAACTTCTGTCCAGACATACCGGCTCCTCGTTTTGGTTTTGATTATGATGGCAGGTCATTTACATTGTCAGGGTGGAACGGGGAAGGGACGAGACTTCACTATCTACTGCCTGCTACATGATACAACCATAAATAAGGCTGCAGAGGGACAGACATGAAAGTAGTCGATGATCGTGAGATGGCAGCAAGGTGAAAAGCGGACATACCTGTTCTTCTCCATTTCATTGTGTGTGGACCTGGAGAAAAAAAAAAGAGAGAGAGGGAGAGAGAGAGGGGTTAAAATCACAGTCCTTGCATTAGAATTCGAAAAGGCACTCAGAGAGAGTCCTAATGTGCTCGTAGCTGATTTGAAGTGTGCAGAGGCGGATGACGATACAGACACCCAGAGAATCACTAGTATGTGCGTGTGGGAGAATAAGTGGGCTGTTTGTTGTAAAACCAGCCACGCAAGCAGCATGAAAACTCAGAACCCAGACACATCATAAAATGGCTGGAAGGATCATCAGACATCTTGAAGCTTGTTTCGAGTGGAAGTTTGAATATTAATACCAGTTGCACAGTAGAGTTTGAAGGGAAATCCCACCAATATTTAAACATTTCCACAAAAGTAAATTCTTGAGATGTAAATAAAGTCATTCAGAGTGGCTTGATGTGAAATGGTTAATTGTAGAGAAGCTTCCTTACTCTGATTCCTTTACAGTGGAGGTGATAGGAACCAGGGGTCAAAATGTATAATGAAACGCATTTATCAACTTATTTTACTCTCCAAAACCACCACTGAACCAACACATTTTTTATATGTAATGTTGATGATGGTAAAATAGTGGAAAATATGAAAAAATATATTTTCTTCAGGGACTATTTTGCCGTAAAATGCCTCTGTACCTCTTCACCACGTCATAAAACAATATCTCAGACATCAGGCAATGTAATCATAACCATTTCAAGTAATAACTTTCTGTGAGGGAGTTTTTAGAGACTTTAAACTTTTCAGATGTCTGGTTCCTATCACCACCATTGTTCACGAAAAACAAAGTGGAACCCCCCTTTAACACTAAGCTAAAGGTTTACACTAAAACGTATTGTAGGGCTGCATAATACAGGCAGAATGCAAGCGCTGTGATTGTATTGCTTCATAATCCAATTGCGATATACCTTGCGAATGTTATGAGGTTGGTGCTGTGTAGTAAGAGGGTTCGATTCCCCGCTTAGGCAACTACCTGTGTAACATGATTAAACCTGTAAGTCACTCTGGATAAGATCATCTGCCAAATGCTATAACTGTATGTCATGTAAATGCACTCTGAACAAAAACATTTTAAAAAATGCAGCACTTTTTTTCTGAAAAGATTTCACTGAGACCCCACAAAACCCAGGGATTTCCACATTAGGATCTGGTGTGACCACCATTTGCCTATAATAGTCCGACTCATTTCTAGGAAAAGATTGGTGCAAAAGCTAGCAAAAACAATAAGGATGATTTCAATACAGTATACCTAAAAATGAATGGCTGAAACCCTGTAAAAATGTATCAACGAGATGCCTCTTTCCCAAAACTAGGCATCTCGGTGCATCCCGTCAGAGTACAGTGGGCGGGCAGGGGATTATGTCATGGACAGCTCGTTGCTTGACTGTCTGGGCTGTGTTCCCTGAAGAGCTTCTAGGAGTCGTGATTTTTAGGGTTTATTTTGTTAGTGGGAGGCTTTGAAAAACATTTGTTTTTAACTTTTTTTTTTTCTATTATTTTTCTAAGACATACCAATCTGTGTAGTGTATAATTACAACTCTGTAGAATCAAGAGACATAAAATATCGAAAATCGACTCAAAGCTGGACCTCAGATTCAAAAACTGTATCAAACCTGAAAATATCTGTACAGTTTCACATCACTACTGTGACACGGTTAAGGACTGACTTGTATTATTTTGATCCAAATTATTTGATTAAAATTATTATGAACATCTTGATTCCTCACAACACCCACAGAAACTCATCTGGAACTGTGATTAGTATCGAATGCTTAATACAAAGTTAAAAGCACCGCGATTGGTATGAGGGCTTATTTTACATTGCAGCCTTCGGCACCATCATTAGTGCACAGGCCAGTATGCTGAGTATAAAACAAATGATATACGGCCTTTAAGTCAGAAATTTTCTAGTATAAAGTGATTTTTTAAGTGTTCAGAGGCCGGATTCACAAAGTGTCTTAAGAAAGAAAATCTTCCTAAATGTGTTTTTTCTTGTGTTCATTCTTAAGGAAAAAGTTACGAGAAATCGTTATTCGTTAAATAACTTTTTAAACCTCTTCAACTCCTTGAGACCAGCATTGGTTCCAAAACGCACTTCGTCATATTCTTCATAACTTTCATATTTCATAAGCTACATTCTAAAGGTGGGGGTCGTATGAGAGCTGTAACTGTCTTCTTTCCAGTCAAATAGATGGGTGATGTAATTTTAAACCCTTATAATAAAAGAAGCTGAGCTCTTTTTTTTTATCTACTGAAAGTCGACCCATTTTTTCACAAATCTGGGCTATAAACTATAAACAGATGGCGTCTCTTCAGTGATCTGCTCTGTAAAAATTACTTTTATAAAATAATACAAAGAGCGTCTAAGATTTTTGGCTTTCAGCAGTAAATTGTAAGCATATAGCAATATGTGCATAATAATAAAACACATTTTCTGTTAATTTGAGGGGAGCTTTTAC